GTAGTTCTGCAGCTCACTAATGGGAAGAGACATCCCTATTTTCTCCATCCCCTTGATACAATTTTCAATAGTAAGCTAAATTTCTCTAATTAAAAAAGCTAACAAGTTAGAATGGTTATTTTGAGCAAAAGATAAAAATTTTGACCAATATACTCCATGTTTACTTATGCACAATAATATATTCATTTAAAAGCTACTTTTGATAAACTATGGGGTAAGAGAGGACCATTTGTGGGGTAAGATAGGACCACTTGTGGGGTAAAACAGGATCATGTAGTGGTCCTGTCTTACCCCATGTCCGGTCCTTTTTTACCCCATTTTAAAATAGATGTCAGGCAGTGATGATAGCAGGTAGGAATGCCTAGTATGTCTCAAAAGTTGCTTATTACTTGAGGTTACCTGCCTACATCCACAAACCTGGCCAAAAATTTTTTTGGAATCAGACAGAGCTTATTTCCCAAATAGGGTTAACTATTTTGTGACCCTTCTTTACATAGGTTTTTTTTCAAAAATTAACCAAAAATTCATTATTTGCAGAACAGGGTTGAAACAAACACTGAAATGACAGGCAATGATTGCTCTAACATATTCTTTCATCAAATTAAATTCAGTGCAGTTAGAATGCACGTCATGGGCCGGTCCATTCTTACCCCATGAAAGCTGCGATCCTGTCTTACCCCATTTGACTATATATGTTGACCAGGATGGTAGTAATTATTAAATTGGTTGGTCGTATGGTTGATGGTTATATATGTTGACCAGGATGGTAGTAATTATTAAATTGGTTGTTCGTATGGTTGATGGTTGTATATGTTGACCAGGATGGTAGTGACGCAGCGGGGGGTGCTGCCCCCAGCCAAGTACAACTATGCTGACTCTGCATGGTTCAAGTACATACTCTCCTGCACAGCCGCTACCACCGCCGAACTAGGTGAGTTGTTATAGTTCATCTTCCTCTTTTGATAGTATATTTGTTACTTATATTTTAATATTATAAACAAATATGATAATAGTACCAATATAATATATAGTGGTCGCTATATATAGTACATCATTTCCTTCCCTATAGAAGCCATTATGATATTGTAATAAGAATCCGAAATATAAGAGTGTCATATTCGATTTGACCACCGCGGTTGCCTGTCGGCGATTCTTAATCTACTCAGCCACCTTACTGATTTCGACCAAAATTTTCACAACTAGTTGCTGATTTATAACCCCCAATTTGCTGCTCCAATTTCGGTATATCGTGTCTAGTCGGACATCCCGAGCCTGTACAAGATATATAATTTGGCTTAATGTTCAATGAGTTTTTTAATTTAGTGATGTGAACGACACTAGTTATGAAATCATTTCCTACGAATTTTATGTACGAAATATCTCGATTATAATATAGTACCTAATAAAGTCCTCAATATTCGGGATGCAATCTTGCTTAACCCACCACATACGGTTTTGCATCAAGTATAACTGTCACGTATACATCTGCATTAATAGTCAATTCGATTTCGTAGGCTCGTCTTCGTTCAAATACAAACTGAAAATGTGCTGCAGTCTTGCATAATAATCATGCCTGTGATGTGTAGATATTGATTTTAAATTCAATTTGTAAGGCTGGTTTTCATTGAAAATATTGAAATTGTGCCGAAGACTAACGTAATGCCCACCGCATCCATGCTTAACTGAATAAATTTAAAATTTATTTAGATTTTACATTTAATAATAGATTTTACATATAATTATTTATTTTGAGTGTATTTATATATGTTAGATTTTAAATTCATTTCTCAAATTTTAATTACTTAATTTTTCGGTTTTTATTATAAGGTCGGTTTATATTAAAAAAAATATTAGGCCGGTGCTAACGTATTTCTCACGGCAGTCACGTATCCCTTGGACCTGGCCAAGACGCGTCTACAAATTCAAGGAGAAACAGAACTCAATTCCAAGGGCAGCAGGGTGAGTGCTTGGCCTTCGTTACGGAAATACGCTTTACTTCACATGGTATCAAGCCTTTATTATATAAATAAGCTGTATTTCACATGGTAATAACATACAATTACTGATCCTGTGCCTCATGAAAACGGATTGGGCCTGAAATTTATTTTGTTATCCTGTTATCCTGCATTCGTTGTTGGTAGCTCATATTGCCGATGCATTCAAATTGGTGGAATTCGTAATCTTGTTCCAAATTAAATTGTTCGTCTGATTTTTCAGTGTTCTTTAGAACGTGTATCATTCAATTTTCCAGTTTTATGCGATTTAGAAATTAAAATCTTAGTTTTCGTCTTGAACATTTTATTTGTATTACTACTTACTTCTTACTACAATATTTTCGCTCATTCATGAATCGAGAAATGAATCTCGAAGTAGACAGGCCCATGAAAACGATCCGTTGCGTGTTTATTTTGATTATTAAAAAACCTTCTTAACATTTATGATCAATTGTGCTCTGTTCAAAATATTAAGAAAAGCCGTTCTTAACCATTATTATATATTGACGCCCACTAAATTAATAAAGCCATTCATAGGATTTTCTCCTAAAAATCTATAGTTGCTCTCAACTCTAAATGCGACGAACGCCCTCGTCCATCAGCAGCTCTTGTCCCAAACCGTCACGAGCGACGTTCTGCTGCCAAGCTTTTGTCTTATGGCAAAAAATTCGTATTTTTCATATGTTTAAAAACGATTACCTAATCACTATGTCGTACATATGGCCGCTCATGCGTATGTTATAGTATTGTTAAAATTTTTGCCGACAATAGGATTGGTTAAATTCGTTATCTATAAAATCACATGAGAACTTACATTAATGCTTTTAAATCTGTTATAGTTTTCTGATGTTTGGACAGACGTGTCCTAATCTAAATCCTCCCGTCAATCCAATACAAATATACCCTGAATTTTCGTAAAAATTTGTCCGTCAGTGAACGTAAAAACCTATCCTGAACATCTAAATTTCTGCTAAATGTTAAATGAACAACCTTGTGTATGTGTGCTGTCAATTGGGGTATCCTGGCATATATTTTTCGGTCAATCCAATCAAAATTTAAGTCGAATTTTCTCAATCAAACACCCGTTAGTGATAATAAAATCTACCCTGAATTTTCTCAATAAAACACCCGTTAGTGGTCGAAAATTCTGCCCTGAATTTTCTCAATAAAACACCCGCTACTGATCGTAAAATCTACCCTGAATTTCCACAATTTCTACTAAACTGATTAAATTCATTATACAGATGCTGCCATACCGGGGCCTGGTGGGCACCGCAGTGGGCATCGTGAGGGAGGAGGGCTTCTTGAAGCTCTGGCAGGGCATGACTCCGGCTGTTTACAGGTGATTATACATTATTTACTATAGTTAATATTTTATTTATAGTGTATTTAGCATAGACGTCATCTGTTTTTATCCTCTCGTGTCTTTTTTAGCCACTTGTAACGTGCCCTCGAAGTTCGATCCGAACGAGACGCCACGACAATCTCTTCGTGGAATAATAATAATAATAATGATAAGTATGCTAGCATGTATATATTTTTCTATTATATGTTCACTAGTCAGTGTTATTTACTATAATTAATATGTTATAATAACTTGATGAGTTCTTTAGCGTGTATATATTTCAGTTTTAATTGTTCACTAGTAAGTGTTAACTAACATGTTTACACGTGATTATACATTAATTATTGACCATAGTTAGTATCTTATTATAACTTGATAAGTTCATTTGCATGTATATATTTGTGTATTAACTGTTCATCTAATAATAATTAATTAACAGACACCTGGTATACTCCGGGACGCGCATGGTGCTGTACGAGAAGCTGCGCGACAACCTCTTCTCTGTCAGGGAGGACGGCTCCCACCCTGTCTGGTGCCTTCACTATTACTTAAATCATTGCTTCTATTATTATTAGTATCATTATTATTAGTATAATTATTATTAGTTTATATTAGTATAATTATTATTAGTTCTTATTTGTATTATTATTAGTTGATATTATTAGTATTAGGTATTATTAGTTTTTATTTATATTATTATTAGTTTTAAATAGTATTATGACTACTTTTAATTAGCATTTTTATCACTTTTTATTAGTAATATTATTAGTTTTATTAGTATTATTGATGCTAGAACTTGGTCTGTATCACAGAAACCAGACAATATTGTGGTCTTATTATTGATGAATGAAATTGTTGTCTATTACTGACATTAGTGTGTATCACTGATGCATATATTTATAAGAGTTACTGATGCAAGGAATTGTTGCTTACTAGTGATGCAAGGAATTATCACGTATCATTGATGCATATATTTATAAGAGTTACTGATGCAAGTAATTATTAGGTATCACTGATGCAGGTAATTGTTAGGTATCACTGACGCAAGTAATTATTAAGTATCACTGATGTAAGTAATTATTAAGTATCACGTACGCAGTTAATTACTAAGTATCACTGAAGTAAATAAAACGTGTGCAGGCAGAGCATCATGGGCGGTATCGTGGTAGGAGGGGCGGCACAGCTGCTGGCGTCCCCCGCTGACCTGATCAAAGTGCAGCTCCAGATGGAGGGACGGAGGAGGCTCGAGGGCAAGCCGCCCAGGTGACTAGTGGCGTGTTACTGACGCTAATGTCTATATTATGAGTGTATTTTGTGCATATTATGAGTGTATTTTGTGCATATTATGAGTGTATTCTGTGCATATTATTAGTGTATTTTGTGCATGTTATGAGTGTATTTTGTGCATTTGTGAGTGTATTTTGTGCATATTATGAGTGTGTTTTGTGCATATTGTGAGTGTATTTTGTGCATATTATTAGTGTATTTTGTGCATATTGTGAGTGTATTTTGTGCATATTGTGAGTGTATTTTGTGCATATTATGAGTGTATTTTGTGCATATTGTGAGTGTATTTTGTGCATATTATGAGTGTATTTTGTGCATATAAATAAGTGTATGTTCACCAACACGCCACTCACCAACACGCCACTCACGGCCCCTCTCTCTTGCTCAGGGTCACCAACGTGTCGGAAGCGTTTGTGAAGATCTACACGTCAGGAGGCGTGCGCGGCCTCTGGAAGGGCTGCATGCCCAACGTGTACAGGTGAGATCTGCCTCTAGACGTGCCTCACGTGCCCTTATAAACGTGCCTCACGTGCCCTTATAGACGTGCCTCACGTGCCCTTATAGACGTGTCTCACGTGCCCTTATAGACGTGTCTCACGTGCCCTTACACGTGCCTCACGTGCCCTTATAGACGTGTCTCACGTGCCCTTACACGTGCCTCACGTGCCCTTATACACGGGCCTCACGTGCCCTTACACGTGCCTCACGTGCCCTTATACACGGGCCTCACGTGCCCTTACACGTGCCTCACGTGCCCTTATAGACGTGTCTCACGTGCCCTTATAGACGTGTCTCACGTGCCCTTATACGTGCCCTTGCTAACTATCGTCGTAATATTAACATTTAAGATAATAATAATATAAGATATACTAGGTATCGTTATCTCTGTTTGGTTCATTGAAACCAGAATTTTTCTGTTTACGATTCTTGTTATTTCATGTCAACGTTTCCCTGTGTTACAATATAGGTATGCATCTAATCATAATATTTTATAGTGTGTTATCATATTTCTGTACTTAATTGTAAAATGAATTCATGATTGTAAGTTAGGTTTTGTGTTATAGTGGACCATCACGTTTATTTTCATGTATAATTGTGAAATGTAAGTATGCTTGTAAGTAAGTTAGTTGTGTGTACAGGTCAGCGCTAGTTAACCTGGGTGACCTGACGACGTACGACTCCGTTAAAAGGTTCTTCATCAAGAGAGGCTTCACAGACGACTACTGGACGCACGCTCTGTCCAGGTGTGATGTACTTTCTACTCATCTATTAATATGTATTTTTTATTTACAACTCGAAATCATTCGTTTTCGAGTTGTATGCAATGCAGCGTTGAAGCAATGTTGCTATTACGACGTTGCTGTAACGTAAAATTCTCTGGTTGAAGTTCAACTAATACATTTTTTCTATTCGTAATTCGAAATCATACGTTTTACAGTTGAATTAATTTTTTTTTCTATTTACAATTCGAAATCATACGTTATATAGTTCAATTTATTTTTTCTTATTTTATACAGATGAATTCATTATCCTATTAAGAAAGATTGAATTAATACATTGATTTGTCCTTGATAAAAATAGCTTAATTTTCGCTTGCTCTGAAGGATTCATGAGACCGAGTATTTATTTCATGAGAATGAAATATATTTCATGAAGGATTCATGAGACCGAGTTTATAGTATTTGCCGAGTAAATTTATTTTATATTATATTCATTACTGATACTGATATAAAATAATATTTTACGTTATTTCATTACTGATACTGATATAGAATAATGTGTATTTTCATAACTGATATGTTTAATTGTGAATTGCATTTCTCAGAAATAGTATTTTATGTGTGTCATTTTATTTCGCAATAATTCAATATATATTGATGCTTGAAGAGAATATACAAAGTTTTCAGAGAATTTTCCCAATTTCTATTTCGTAAAATTATCCTACTAAAAGTATTTTGTTAAATTTTTGTGTTACAAATTTCAAAAAATTGACTTGCTGAGTTCTCTAATGTAGTGAATTTTGTAAGGCTAAATCGGCCCCTTTCTCATGTTGCTCTCTTTGGTTCAGTTTAATTATATTGGAACAAATTTACTTGAGATAAAATTATTATATTATCTAATTGTAAAAAATTAGTTTTCATTTGGAGTAACAATTTGTTTCATTTGGTATGAAATAATTTTTTTATCAGAAAATGAATAAAATGTATTAGTTTGAAATAAAATGAAATATCTTACTAGGAATAATCTTGCATCATAAGAAAGCTAATCAACTTTTGTTATATAAAATAAAATGGATTCTTGGATGACGTGAAATAGAAATTTTTTAGAATAAATAGAATGACTACTATACAGTCGTGAATCAATCTTTCTCTGCACTTACCATCAGGGTTGGTGATTTTTTTTTTTATTACAAATAAGAAAAAATAAATAAAAAATCAATGATTTTTTTATTTTTTCATGATTTTTTTTATTTATTTGATTTTTTTCAGCTTTTTTGTCTTTTTCAAGTGTTATTTTTTATGTTGCAATTACCCTACTAACAATAACAGTATATGGATCATAATGGATGACTAAAAAGGGCACTTATTGCCTTCAATAATGACCAACAGGCCAAGGTGGTGTTTACCACTTAGGGATTTTTGGGTAAACAATTATTGATAAGTCTATTATTGATAAGTATTTTGCCTAAAAGCTAAACAATTATTGACAAGTCTAATTGCCTAAAAAGTCAATACAATCTCAACCTCTCGATATACAAGGAAGGGCAGAACCGATTGAGCAGTTTTGAGGTAAAATAAAAGAGTAATGGAGGTACATAAAGAAGAAAGTTTATTTTGCTAGAGGTTAGCATAACATACCGTACCATTTAGAATACTTATGTTTTGAAAACAATATCTGGAAGATGGGGGCCGTTAGCTGCAAAACACTGTTAGAGTCGCTTTCAGAGGAGGGAGTAACCATGACAGTGAATTCCGATCGCTATGCTGCAATGTTGCAAAATTTCTTGCAGCCCATGATGGAAAACATTGTTGAAAATAAAGCATTGAGAGACGTGTGGTTCCAGCAGGATGGGGCTACAGCTCATACAGCCCGAATGTCACTCAATGTTTTGAAACGCATGTTCCCAGACTCTGAGGGGTGATTTACACTGGCCTGTGAGGTCACCTGATTTGAGCATTTGCAATTTCTTTCTTTGGGGACATCTAAAAGAGAAGTTCAGAAGTCTAGATTTATCGGACTGACGATGGAGCTGGTCTCCGAAACGTTTTCAAAAGAGATATGCTAAATTTTTGTGGTGTTTTCTTCGCTTTTAAATTTCTAGTGAATCTGCGATTAAAGCAATCTAGTGACTTTTTTACACATGATTTAATCATTGCCAACCCTGTTTACCATAAAGTATAAACAGAACCGATATCATCAGTGTATACATCATATAATAAATCAGCACGCTCATATTCAGCACTCCCAAATTATACCACATATCAATATACATCATCAGTGCACCGCACACACTCTCGATTTCTTTTCTCTCTTTTTGATTCCATAAAACTGATAATACTTTCATAATTTCTCTTGTTTTTTGCTGCATTCTTTTTTTCTTAATTGGCTTCTTCATTCCTGACCTATATTCCTTGGTTTGCAATGATACAAACTAAACATTAATATTCACTTATAACGTTCCTTTACGTCTTTTTTACTACGGATAAAGTTTAGGAATTAAATACCATGACAATTTTTTAGCTTATCAGAAATATTAAACTCTTAACTTCCTTAACATTCCCACATTCACAAAATATTTACTACTACCAGTTCTCCTAATGATGCAATTAATTGTTCCAACAACCTTTGGATGCTGCTATTAAAGCGGTTGTTAACCCTCCGGGACCCAAAATGACGTCAAAAACGACCGCTGAGGATGAAATTTATTAATAATTTCTAATTAAATTGTACCCAAATTCTCATTACCTTCTGCAAATGATGCATCTAACATCGGAAAGAAGTTACAGAGTGATTTTTAGTTCATACGTTCCCGATTTTTAGTGCAAATGTTCCCCATTTTAGGAACATGTTTTCGCTTGATTCGGAGGCTGACAGTTCACAAGAACTTATTTATGAAGAAGATACAAACGAACAATATTTTTAATGATGAAAGCAAATCTTCTTCGTATGAAGAGAACTCAGATTCGAAGAATTGTGTTCTAAATTAGTTGAATATGCTACCAAAACGAATTGCGAATTCTCCAATAACATAAATACTATTTACAGTACAAACAGATATGGGACCAAATGTGGTACCATGGAGATACTGTACCATTTCCGCGACCATCTCCTATACCAACTATAGCTTAGGTAAAGGGAAAATATATCAATGTTCTCTCTTATCAAGATGCCAAATAAAGTGCAAAAAAGGTTCATTATATCCTGAATTTGTTTGACATGAACTTACAATATCCAATGTAGCCAGTTGTTTGAACTGTGGAGTTTAATTATTTGCGGCTATTATTTTATTTTTCATACGATTTTTTGCTTCCCTTCCGGAATGGAAATTTTTGTACATAAATATTCCCAAATAAAAGTATTATGATTTTAAATTTAATTTGTAATCACATTATTACAATTTCAAATCTCATGAGCAGGTTTAATGACAAAGAATTTAAGGGGTCAAATTTGGCCCCCATTGTTGATACTTCGTGTATTACGAGGGGTTTTGGGTCCCGGATGGTTAAAAAATAACTTAACAAAATAACAATAACAATTTGTTCTACAGCTTATATCGAAAGAAATATGTTTTTTGTCACGAATGTCTTGAAGAGAAAATTTCCCGTTTTAATTTTTGTCTTGAGACAAAATCCTGCCCCTGTTTTGTTTGGTCTGTGGGTAGTGACTAACACAAATGATACCCATAGGTCCCAGTGAATGTTCCCTGATCTTTCCAGTTATTTATTTGGTCTTTAATACCAAAATGCGGTTATAGCTGATTAATTCCATGTGGTGATTAATCCTGTTGATTAGATTTCTAAGTACTGGCGACTGCAGATGGTTTCATTGTGCTATGATATTACGGCTATGAGATTTAACCAATTTTTATTCTTTCTAGCAATTGAAAAAAATCTGACTTTCTAACGTCATTTCTTCAAGATTTATTTTCTACATAAAGTTCCTGACCGCCTATTCAATAAATGTGTTTTGATCACACACACGCAATAGCGTTGAATGAACCAGCAGGAATATTGATGTGGATTTTTAATAATAATAATCTTTAATATTATAATAATAATATTTCCAACATACCGTATGCCTTTCGCCCCAAGTGAGATTTGGTTTAGTCTCGTTTCCATTGAGCGCTTTGACCAATGATCTCCTAAGTTTACTCTCATTGAAGTCGGCAAAATTCTTCAACCTAAAAAATTCCCTCGCATATAATTTTGCGTTAGTGATATTTTTACTTAAAGGTTATTGGTTGTGTCAACTCCTGGATCACTTATTACCTGATACGTTAACCCCTCTCAATGATATTCATACCTAAAGCTGGTCTAATATTGATCGCACCCCCCCCCCCAGTGAAAACGAATAAACTATTCAAGATGTCAATAACTGAACCCTATAATCAAGTCGTCCATCTAAATGTCTGTAAACACATTATTATGTGTAATTGGAAGGAAAAGTAAATTATTCCATGCAGAAGTCAGCAGTACACAAATATATTTTTTTTTTCTCTAAACTCGTCAATTCGTAGAGATTCTCGACACTTTTCTGTTCTTTACATGTGAAACAATTGAATCTTGGTTATTTAATCACAAAAATATTTTCTCAACGTAAGAACAATACGTATTTTTTAAATTAAATCTTGCTTCAAGAAAAACAAAGTTCCTGTGTTCATGGTTCCCAACAATCACGCCTCCATTAACTTTAAATAAAATTATTTTTCGAAAAATAAAGTAAGTAGGATAGATCTAGAAATTAAAATAATGCTAGCCTTTGTTCATGTATATATGGAACAATACTCCCTCTTTAACTATAGCTATTGATCAAAAAACTTTTGCAAATATTCCCATCGAATTAATTTTCGTCCCAAATTAATGTAAATTATATTACCTCCTACATCCTATTTCGCAAACTAACGGTTAACCTCATCAGACCTGGGATTTGCTGCGACCAACTCTCATCCTGCGATAGCATTATTGTACAATGGTTCTTAACTATCATTGGTATATGTGTTTAAATCTGCCCTAAAAACCTAAAGCGAATCAACTGCTGCACTCAATTCCGTCAATTAGTAATGCCCTAAACCAACTATCCCATTTTAAAGATAGTTCAATTTTAAAATAAATTTTGAAGCATCCACTTGTGGGTAGGTTAAGTATGCACCGGATGTTGCCACTTTACGAGGTTGAATATACCCGCTTCTGGGGAGGTCTAATGTTGCTTCATTTGACGCTGGGGACTCAGCGCGTGCTCCGGTCTCATTGGGGCTTCCCTGGGGACGCCTGCAGACGTCGTTAAGAGTCGAGTCATGAACCAGCCGACCGACCACCGCGGCAGGTAAATATTGTCATGAACCAGCCGACCGACCACCGCGGCAGGTAAATATTGTCATGAACCAGCCGACCGACCACCGCGGCAAGTCTTAATTAATTAAGTTTCATATTTTTCTAAATGCAACTGTGATTCTAACATCCCTCTACCAAAATTTCGAGGAAACACGCGGCAAGTTTCATGTTTCGAAGGCTACATTTACGCCGTTCATGTCACCTCCGCAATATGGTAAGTGAAGCTACAATAATTTCCCATTACATGCCGTTCCTGTTAATGCTATTGAATATTCAGCCCTCCTCTAAATCGCATATGCTTGCATCTTGTACTGCTCGTTCTTCGTTCTTACCTGATTCTTCGTCTTCTTTGGGTGCATGCGTTTCGCTTTTTGATTTTTCTGAAATGAAATGCAAAGGCGTGGAGTTATTCCTTTGAATTCACTGCACGCGAATGGTCCGTGTTTGCAGTGACTCACAATGACGTGAATGCGCACTATATGTGGCAACATTTTATCGTATTTGTATTGCCGCTGTTTTTCCGACCTATCGATTCCAAGTTTCAATGTTACCGTTGAGTTATAACAATGAATACTCCATCAATACGTAATTTTCTTGTCGTTATTGGCATTGTGGATAATGCAGGACTATTTGATTACTAAGCTAATTTGTAATACAGTACTAATTGCATCTTGGAACCAAAAAATACTGCCTGATAGTTGTATACTGTCCGTTCTGTTCTGTAACAATTTATTATGCTTCTCTGTTTGTCACTCATTCATGTGCACGAAATAAATTATATTTTTCTGGTAGTATGAAGCATGTTGTTAAATTTTTATTAATACTTCTGCCACCCGTTTATTGTTGATCCATTATCAGCTTCTTGCGTTGTTGAAATCATAAATTGCTCGGTACAATCATTTTTGTGTCTACTTTTCCTGTCCCCGTTCACTCATTTTTCACAGCATTTAACGCCTTTCACTTCTTAATTCGTAACCTATAGTTTCATTTCAACATCTCGCACCTAAACAAATAATCTCGCATAGGTACTATTAAAACGTGAATGCAAGTATAACGACATCAGTAAATGCTGTATTCTTTCTTTTTAAATGATGCTTGATAACCGCGGGAAAAAGAGTTGCGATGTCCGCGTATTTCTTATCGTGTCACGGCCACCAACGTCGTGCTACCTACAATGTTCAAGTTATTTGTGTACCACATGACATGTTGCTTCCTTCTTCTTGTTCCTTGCCACTTTGCCTGGTACTTTGCCTGATACGTTGCCTGGCACTTTGCCTGGTTCGTATCCTGGCACTTTGCCTGGCTGGCACTTTGCCTAGCTGGCACTTTGCCTAGCTGGCACTTTGCCTAATACTTGGCGTACCACACGACAGCTACTTGGCGGGCCTCGTGGCCGCCGTCCTCGGCACGCCCGCTGACGTCGTCAAGACCAGGGTCATGAACCAGCCCGTTGATGAGAGGCAGAGGTATCATTATTGTCTTGATGAGCGGCAGAGGTATCATTATTGTCTTGATGAGAGGCATAGGTATCGTTATTGTCTTGATGAGAGGCAGAGGTATCATTATTTTCTTGATGAGAGGCAGAGGTATCATTATTGTCTTGATGAGAGGCAGAGGTATCATTATTGTCTTGATGACAGGCAGAGGTATCATTATTTTCTTGATGACAGGCAGAGGTATCATTGTTTTCTTTGCGTGACATGGAAGACCAAAAATTCTTGATGGTTTAATCCGTTTCTGTCAACACATTATTAATTTATGTTCCTTTATAAGTTTGGTGCTTGCCGTAGTATCTGGGGTTGTATGATGAGATTCGCTTTTTTTGCCTTGAAGCTGGAATAAGGTAAACCTGAAAATGTTCATAAATCAACACGTCGAGGTGAAACGATCTCAGTTTTGGTCTATTAAAGTTCGAAGCTGTTAAGATAGTTTTTGAAACGGTAAAAGGTTTCTCAGGTAACATCAACTGCCGCCTTAGGTGTGAAGATGATTGATGTTAATGATGCATTATTATTTAATTGTTAATACCATTATTGTTACTATTGATGCATTGCTGCTCTTTCGATCTTCTAGTATTAAAGCTTGGCATGACATAACCAGTCTTTGTAGTTAAATGCTTTTATCGTAGTGAAACTAATCGGCTCGTGTCATGATCTTGTCTTAGGCTTCATAGACTGAATAGCCTAATTGTATCAATTGATTTTTCATACTTCGTTAGGCCTGTGCATGCGTCAATTCTTAATGAATGTTTATAACTCCGGCCGTGCGGAGACCGCGATTTCTTCTCGAGGTAAGTTTTTTCCCCTTCATTCAAAGGCCATCCATTTTTAGTGTGTCATTTACGCTGCACTTCATACACTGCCTGCAATGTTAATTGTAATGGTGACATCGATGCCAAGCAACAAGTATGGTGAGATCATTGTTTATTTCGGCGGACCGTGCGTTACTTGTCTTGAAATTAGGTGAGTTTGTTATCTATTATCTATTTTATCTGAATTCATTCGTCTTTTTGGAGAGCTGAAGAATGTTTATACCTGAAATAAAAAGAAATGAATAAGTGTCGGATCGAGGATGTGATACTCACTAGCCTTGCTTGTATTTAACTCCATAATAGTATTTCATTTTAGACAATTTTTTGTTAAATTTTTCTATTCGAACTTCTCTTTTTAATGACATAAAAATGGCGACTTTTTGTACTCGCATTTTTAAAAACTTTGCGCCGATACTTTCCTATTGGCTAGTGGGCTCCTGCACATAACTTTTATGACCTAAATAATACCATCATACCTGCATTATTTTATCGCTTCTTTATGAACTTGAGTTCAATGGAATAAGCAATAGTTCACGTTTGCATTATTTTCTTGCGAAATTCTTCACACAAAACTCAGATGAATAATCAATTGGTCATTCTTTCATTGTTTCCGTGCTAGCGTATATACAGAAATTCAATGGAATAAGCAATACGCTTATGCGTGCAATATTTTGCAGAGGCCATTGCAAAAAATTCTCTGGAATGAACAACACGCTCATATGTACAATATTTTACAGTCCCCTATATAAAATTTCTCTGGAATGAACAATACGCTCATCTGTATATTTTTACAGAGTCCCCTATAGAAAATTTCTCTGGAATGAACAATAGTCTGATATGTGCAATATTTCCAGAGGTCTGCTGTACAAGAGTTCGATGGACTGCCTCCTGAAGACTGTGCACAACGAAGGCTTCTGGGCGCTGTACAAAGGCTTCCTGCCGTGCTGGATGCGCATGGGTCCGTGGTCGCTCACATTCTGGCTAACATACGAACAAATACGCAGCAAGTGTGGCACTTCTGCTTTCTAGAGCTACTAGTTTTTTCTTATTGTCTATTTCCTCGCTAGAAATATGATGCAAAACATTTTTCATTGAAATTTTTTTTGGTTTTTAAATCTTAAAAAAAGTTTTTTTTCTATTCTTATTCAGAATTATTGTTTCGTACCTAACACCTATAACAGATTTCAGAAGTTGTTTGTTGCTGGTAATTTGTTTTTGGTGTTGAATGTTCCAATTGATGAATGTCAGAAATTAAAATAGAAAAAAGTAATATTTTTAGAGGGGATCGTCTCGTAATGAGATGCTAAATTCTATCGCTTCGAGCTTTAATTATTACTTCTGCTATCGATATAGTGAATTCTTCTGGGTATATGAAGCTAGCGTATTTTAAATATCCGAAAAGATGCGGTGAAGCGTAAATTCAAATTAGATAATATATATTGTTTTGGTCTTCACTATTAATGATGTCTTGGTGTCGACAGTTTGTTGTAATTTAATCTCTAAAAATTATGAAAGATTTTCTGCGTGCTAATTTTGAGTGGGAAATTTGATGTCAATTCAAATTTCTAAATTTACTAATTCTCAAAATTTAAATGAGTGACATGGGAATTTTTTATAAATATATCTTATATTTTACTTCGTATTCTAGCATTGAAAGTTATAGTCATGAGTCAGGGACTTTAGTGAGAATTCAAACAACGGTATTCCTGAAATTTGAGAGGAAATACAGGAACATGTTAGTCAACTTTTGCCTGTAACTCACTACCTACCTACTGCGATGTTCCAGGAATAATTAATAGTAGTGAGAATCCGTAGTCAGTACCTGGGTAGGGAATATTTTTAAGTGTAATTATAATTCCGGTGAAGTTTCTTCGTTTTAGAAGGAATGTACCGAGTTGCGCCAAGCGTGTGCCAGCTTTTTGTACATACCTACATGAGAGTAAACTTGAATGTATTTTCCGTGGGGACTTAGGTTGTTCACTAGTGATGCTGTACGTGGAACCATATTATTTTGTTACTCGACGTGTAATTTTACTGCAGTTGCTCTAGAAATGTTGACACCTGACTACAATTACTCTAGAAATGTTGACACGTGACTACAGCTGCTCAAGAAAGGTTGACACCGTCTTACAGCTGCTATAGAAATGTTGACACCGTCTTACAGCTGCTATGAAATGTTGACACCTGACTACAATTGCTCTACAAATGTTGACAATTCACTGCCGTTTCGTTGCACGAGAAGTGTTTCCTTTTTTCTGCGCAAAACTACACAATTTGTTCGATTATACAAATTCTATGCTCAATGTGAATTGTATTTATAATTCAGTGTGGCGACTAAATAGATACGAATGCAGGGATGAGAAATTTTCCGTGGTTTGTCGCTGACGTGCAATTTGTTTTAATATTGCTTCCACTATCAACATTTTGCCTCGTCATTCTGCTGTTTGCTGGAATTTTTTTTGCTAAGCTTTGACTCTTTCTTGATTGCTGGCTGTAATTTTGTGCTATGCTTGAATTTTTAATCAATGAATGTTAAAAGGATCAAAAAATGAATTTTTAACGTTTGATCTATCATCAGGTTATGGAGTCTAAATAAAAAATGGGGCCTGTCATATATTATTTTATTTCTGCATACGTCGTCATTTTGAGGCTGCTGGGCAATGAATGATAGATCGCTGATCTCTCCAAAATATTGACTTGTATCATTAGTCTGCTTAAAAGTCAAGTTCACCGAGAATTGAAATTCCTGAAAATGCCAAGTAGGATATGATGGATTTACTTGGCGATTTCTTTGTATTTAAACTCATGGGTAAATATTGACCTGTAGTTTGATGGGGAAATTGTAGTCATTGGGTGAGAATCTCTGTTCCAAGTGCTTGTAACTCATGCCGGCTTATTGTTATATATTATATTAACACAGCAATATATGTATGAGGCTTATCAGCCTCGTACATATATTGTTCTACATACATCTTGTTTTACTATCAGGTGGACCTGATACCAATTGAAGATCCTTCTTTTTCGTCTTGTTGCTTTAAAATGCCAGTATCGCATCATGATGACAATACTCGTTGATCCATTCGTGTACTTGAAAACAACACGATCTAGTTTGGATGTTCGTTAGATTCAGTGTAGATTTTGAAAATTTTCGGGTCGCATTGCGCTTTGATTGACGATAGCTTTCTTCTAGCTCGCTTTTATGTATATGAAACCCTTTGGTGTTAGGACGAGTGTAGCGAAGCTGAAGCGCTAGTAAACATTTGGCCACTAAACTAACTAACTACCTCAGTCTTCCTCGCTGCGCTGATACCTACAATCTAGACGACCACACTATTTTTGTAATGCGAAATGCTCTCGTAATTGTGATTTTCATGGCCAACTCGGAAGTGAACTATATTGAGCTCCTCCTTGAAATTTAGGAGGTCGTTTCTCCTCGACAATTTAAACTATAAATGCATCGGATAGCAAATTGAAATGACATCACATGAGCGGCCAAACTGAATGGCCAAAGCAATTTTGCAATTTACTGACATACCTCACTGTTGAACGCATGAAAGTTCGTAACCGCAACACGCACCGAGGTGTGTCGGAATGGCATTGATCATAATTGTTTTTTTGTGTGTGTGTGTTCCGGAATCATGATTTAGTCGCCATAGAGACATTAATTAATTTAATGGAGATCTTAACTGACCGTTTGTGTGTAGTTGGTCAAGAAACTGATGCTGGTCTATCAGCAACGAATATGTAAACTCTTAAGTAACTAAACAATAACTATTGAAAGGTTCATAACAAAAATGCATTCCTAATTCAACAGGGTGAGATTTCGTGGGCAATTGACGATGTTGACTAAAGAACATTTATCACGAGTTGTGATAATATACATAATCATTGTTGTTTGTTGATGACAATTATGTTTCACAGTTGATACCCTGCACTGTGACTGCTTGTAACTATTAGCATATATCTGTGCATTTACGCGGTATTAAGCTGCGATTCATCATAATTAGTTATGTTTTATGGTGTATGTTATTTCCTAATATATAGACAATGCAATTTCAGTTTACAAGAAGTCATTAATAATAAGATTAATTTACACGTATTATAATGTTCTTGCTCATAATTAATTAGTTATAATGAAACGCTGATATAATTGAAGCATGTAGATTTATAAAATTAACTAAATGTATGAGTAATCCTCCACCGATTTTAATATAAATTTTGAAACTCAATTTTAAAAGAAGATTTTTATAATTGTACAATTGTATTTTCTTGGTCCGTCAAATGCATATGGGAATTTTTTTAGCTATTATAAAACTGTAATCTATCCATACCACAAATCAACAAGTGACATTGATAACTAGTGCTATAATTGCTATTGCCTTGCCGGGAAATAATGATAGATATTGCTGATGTATAAATACAATTGAGAGAGTTGTCGTGATGACCAATTATGAACTTGATGTACAACAAATGCATTAACAACTTATCAATGTTTTCATTTTATCCCACACATTATTATTAAATTGTAGATGATGAATTTCTCGCGCGTTGAACTCGCTGAACGACTACTTTGTAACTCAGCTGATTTTACTCGTACTATTTATTTACGAATTAATTTCAGTTTAGTTACGCGAACGCGTACACGTAATCAGAAAAATTGCGCTGAGAAAAGGTAAGTGGTCGAGCAAGAACAGAACCTCCTAAAAAGGTCCAGTAAGAGTTAGCAAAAAAAAAAAATCGCGTTCGATACAAGTCAAAAGCCATGGCTTTTGTCACCAGAAAAAATCGTGTGTAGCAGTCCTACACTGCATGCTGGGGCGTGCGTAGCAGTCCTACACTGCATGCTGAGGCGTGCGTAGCAGTCCTACACTGCATGCTGAGTCGTGCGTAGCAGTCCTACACTGCATGCTGGGGCGTGCGTAGCAGTCCTACACTGGCTGCCGGAAATTAACGCAGTTCAAACCACTGCCTTGAAGAAGCATCCTTATCATCAGCTGACTACGCTCAGTGAATTCAGATATAAACCATGAAGGGTTGCGTGCAAACAGGGAAATTGCAAAAAAACGTGGTCATTTTTCTTCAGAAAATGTCCAACTATTCGCAACAAGGGTGTATGACACCTTACCATGATGTTGATTATTGCTTTAATTATTGGCTAATACAAATTTCGTTGAATGAGTTCGAATAACATGTTTCAGACGAACGGTATCTTCTGTGTAGCCCTTGAGTATATTATTTCTTTCCAAGTGTTGATTATACTACACGCTACCAGCTTTTGTCATCAGAGATTTTACGTACTTTGTTCATGTGCGAAGCTCATTCGTCATATTGTCCACTATGTTGCCTTCAGACGATTTGTTTGCGCAGTTCTAATCGTTGCAGATAAAATGTTGCGTGTGGACGGGAAAACTGCGCAGTTTTGAAGCCGGCGGGAAAACGGCACAGTTGCACCGGTATAATAGGCCCCTGGCCTGTTGCCGATTCTTGATCTTCTCGCGACTCGACTCACAAGGGATCCGGCCTTTGGAACCCGATCTTTCCATAACTGACGATTGATTGAGATAGCTGCTGGACTTATTGCCTGGTCCGTAATTTGCTAGGCATTTTAAGACTGAACATATGCTCCGGCATAGCTTCGTCTGGACTTATTGCCTGGTCCGTAATTTGCTAGGCATTTTAAGACTGAACATATGCTCCTGCATAGCTTCGTCTAGTCTGTTCTTAAAGGCGTTCATACTCGGAGTTCATATGTTTCATGTCAGGTGAAACAAGTGGTCAACGTGTCTGCTTCCTCACCTTCAACCCGTAACCACCACCACCGTATGTTTCATGTTAAGCTAGGAGTCTGATTAATATTTGATTAATCACCTTTTGTTCATTGTATAAATTATATGAACTTAGATTAAACTTGAGTTATTTTCTACTTTGCGCATTTTTTAACTTGGACTCTCAGTTTGAAATGGGAAGACATCCTGCTTTTAACTATCAAGTAATAAAGGAAAAGATGTATAAATTGGGCTTCCATTGAAGTTAATGAAGATCTAAATAGATAACATAATTCGACCTTTTCATTTTGCATTATGAGCAACGGAAACAACGAAAGATACTCTCATGGTGATACTCTGTTCACTGATGTTAAATTCTTGGTATCTATGTGACTATCATGATAATGTTCTTACTGATTGTGGCTCCATGGGCACAATACACTGCTGATGCCAGCGATGGAGAGGCATCGATGTTAGTAATGTCAACATATGACCCAACAATGGAACTTGATTGATTTATCATGTGCATCATGTTAGTGCATTATAATTGATGCAGCAACATGTTAGTACATTATATCATGTTAGTGCATTGCGAATTTCTACGCAGCGTGAGAAATTTCTTTGAATATAAAAAATGTAATTCCCGATCCAATCGATAACTCGGGGGCCAATATTACGGCCGACAGAAAGAGCGCATTGCCCGCAAGTAGATCTCGACCGCTGAAATGCTTTTGTAGAGTCCGCTGCCAGACACTGTAATATTAAAAGCAAGTAACTAGTAACTACACCCACAAAACTATGTCGCAGACTTGCAAGAAATACAGAGAAAGACCTTCATATATTCCGTCGACTTCATCAACTCGACATCGTTCCCTTTCGACGAGAACCTTAGGTACACAGAAGTCCATGTTCTCATCAATGTCCCTATAGGCACCGTATTACAGAGCTCGTGGTATCATACACGACTGTCAATTTCGTTGGGTCTTCTTCCCACCTGTGAGATCAGTTTAGGACATGCGTAGATGGCTTATGTAGGATTGATTAGTAGTACACGCAGAAACGGTCTCTTGTAAGAGTGTCTAATATCTCGCGCAAATCACCTCTTTCAAGAGTGGTTAATGGGTCTCGCTTAAACGGCCTCTATCATGAGTGGTTAATAACATAACATAACATAATGATGTCGACGCTGAAATGTAGGCCTGATGTGGCCTGTCGCCGATTCTTTTCCTTTTCGTGCCTTGTTCATAGATCTAAACTCGTTGTCCACATGACTTGTTGGGATTTTGAGCTACCAGGCGCTTGAGAACCTCTTCTTCGTGTATTTCAAAACATGTTAACTTCGAGCCGACTGGGCGCTCCTCAATATCTGGAATGCTATTCAAGTCCTCATCTGTGAACACACTGCTGAAGAACTGATTAAGAACGTTAGCCTTGCCTAGGTCTCGATAAAATGACCACTTTCATGGGTGGTTAATGGGACTCGCGCAAATGCAATCTTTGCATCTTTAGCTGTTCATCGATGCGTTCTTTGTGTCTTGAAAGGGGCTCATAGACCAACTTTGACCGTGGACGTGCGTGCGGCCTTGAGCGAGAAAGCAGCATTGTACTGTGAGCATTGTACTTTGAATATAAGTTGCATTAATTGGTAGCATTATAATATAAATAATTTACCTTCAAATTCGGTTTCAGTCATTTCAATATTTACCCTCGTTTCCACATCTTGACGCGACTTATTCAAGATATAATGGTAAGGTGGCCCAGTGGTTACAGTTCAGAATACCGTGACTGGAGGGGTCACCTGCCGAAGACCACCACTGCCCTGGATGTAATGGACCATCATGATTCCTGCCTTCTGGAACGTAGCCTTCAACACTTCAAGCCGTCCGTATCTTGGCCGTGGGTCGAACCAGCCCTCGGTCGAACGGGTGCACAGCCGTAGACGGCCTCTTGTCGAAGGGGCGATAAATTTTGGAACAGAACTATGCTATCTGAAACCTAACCTCAGATGCGGTGAACGTAAAATTACGTAATTTAACGATGCCCGGAAGTCAGATTCGATCCGCGGCCTGGTGGTGGACGGCAAGTTCTATGCGAGGCCGGAGGAAGACAAAGCAGAGTGGTTCACGGCTGATTGGTGGATGTCCGGAGAGATCCAAGGCGTTCGATTCAGGGCTTATTGGTGCACAAAATTGGTGGGGCACGGCTGCGCTCCCGACTGGAGCAGTAAGGTACGGGTTCAATCCCAACTATCATGCTACAGTTCTGGTCAAATCAGCGAGGAGGCCGGGCGGTTAAGCATGGCAAAATTAGAGCACTGAGGTGCGTGTTCGAAACCGCAACAAGCTGTGAAAATTCTGCATTGCTAAGAAGAGATGGTCGGAGGTTTTCTGGCCTCTAGGTTTACTGCTTCAAAGAAATCCTAATTTATCATGCGTTTCAGGACTTGTATCAACAGTCAGAGACCGTAAATACAGAAACTGAGTGCTGACCGTATCGCCAGCAAAAATCGCCTTGCATTCGAAATTTTTTGTGGAGACATCGCGGGCAAGTCCAATGAGGACAACTTTAGGCTTCGAGGCTATGATTTAACTTTCAGACTCTGCCACCAATTCGCGTTCGTCTGGAAGAGATGATCATATATCTGTTCCTGATTGTTGCAATCCACGCTCTCACCTGGCTTCAAAACTCCGCTCCGGTGCGCACTAAAGTAACATTGCTGGAAAGCAGTGCAGAACTTGAGAGTAACTTTGGAAGTAGATAGTTCATCCACAAGTTGAATCTGACTTTGAGGGTTTTCTGGCCTAATAGGCAAGTTTACGTCTAAGCTAGGCATATAATGATTCCTGTAAAGTTGCGACGTGTCAATTGCGTTCGGGTTGAATGGATGAATTCCGAACTTTCTGAATCCAGATTTGATGTTTAAAGCCGTTGTTGTAATGTTATAAACAGTTTTTGATACACAGAACTCTTTTCTTTCCAATCCAAATGCTTCCTCAAAAAGCTTCCTGAAATTTAAAAAGCTCTAAGGGAGAAACTTTGAGAGAATTGTAGACGGCAACCTCGAGTGGCTGACAGAGATGGGTGTGAGAGGCATTGACGCTATAAAAATGTCACGTTGTTCTGTATGACTTAGGCAATATCTGCAGGAGCAATGCAAGAATTCTTGGTTCATTTGTTGATGGCTGAGCAAATGTGAAGAATCTTAGCGTGAGCCACCGTAGGACAAGTCCACAATCTATGGATACAGTGGCTTTTTTGCTGTCCAAAGCTTTATCGGAGACACCTCGGTAGTTGCTCAATTAGTTGCCTTCTGGAAATGCGGCTTTAAAAATTATCATTGGAGCCATTGCAGCAAAGTACGGTGAAACGCAGCAATCGATGCTTCTGTATTGTTTTGTCACTTGTCGAGAATGGAAATTCTTCACTCGCCGAGGCAAGACAACATTCTGCGAGAACTTGAGGTCCACCACCATGTCATGGGACGTTCACTAACGCTATCGCACTCATGAACTCATGAGCGTCTCGCAGAAATCGTAAAGAATCAATCAAATTTTTAATTTTTTGAAAAAAAAAAAATTACTCGGCCGCGATCTAAGCATTCAATTTTCCGATGTTTGACCTACTCAGGGTGTCTGGAACTAAACTTCAACCCCCCATACGTAGCGTCGGTAGCGAGGCCTCTCTCACCAAAAATGTCTCTTGGAGTTGGACCTGCGATCAATGCACCAGGCAAACATTAAACTTTGTGCCACGGTTAAAGGAAAACCTCTATTTGTCACAAATTCAATGTAATTACAGAGCGACGGCTCATGCTCTGCTGACGACGCGGTTGATTTGCCTAGTACAGTCTTCCTCCAGTTCCTCGACTCTTATCGAGAGGCGACCTGAGAGTGTCTTGCGTGGCACATTGAACGTACGGGCGGAGTCTAACGCGGGAAGATTCTAATCTCTGCAGGCTGCAAGACCCCTATCCATGTCCTTCTGCCTCCAGAATCTTAGTTTTGTTCCTTTTCTTGAAGTCTTCTTGAATGGTACAAAATAATTGTATTAACATACTTGAACAAATGCATGTACCGTATTAATCACACAAAATAACGTATGTAAATATTTATCATCCGATGTGGGTTTTATCCTTTAAAGTTTACTTAAGTGCTTGAAATTGTTTTTATTTGTTTTAAATAATCTCTTCATTTTACGAGATTCAACGAGGTAGTTTACCTTATTAAGATCATGTGTGAGAAAGTCGACTCGTGTTACGCTTATTCAAACGAGCTCAGACACTTCAATGCAGCGCTATTCATTTCATTCGCGTAACTCCGATCGATGCAAGAGTGTCGTGCGCGACTTCTGAAGTCATTTTACAACGTTTTTAAAAATTAATTACTAATTATCTGGGAAAGAACATGAATGGGGAACGATTCTTGAATTATTTTAGGCAACACTCTGACACTACCATTGTATTATTAGTATAAATTAGCAACAAAATTATCCTTCATGTCCTGCCTCATGAAGCAAATGTCCTACACAAACCTCGCCATTTATCCCAAATTTATATGCACATAAGTCGCCAGGTATATTTAGAATAAATTAATGACTATATTAAAGTGTCTCTAAAATTTGGAGTACAAGCAATATGAACCTCTTTTTATTGATTTCAGCTCGGAATGACCCCGTGCTTGTACAGGAAACATTTTCTCTGCAATAGAGTATCGCCCAAATCGGGCAAATGCGGTGCAGACAGGAGAAGGAAAAAATTCGTGTCGCTTGCAGAATTTTCGTCATGTTGATTTGGAATCCCAAAACTAATTACAAATTAAGTGTCGGAAATGCATTATACTATCTTTAAGCAATATTAATAAATGTTCTAGTATTTTGCTATGGTAATGAAATGTTCGTATTGGTTCCATTTTAATAAATACTTCCTTTTCCCTGTAGCATGGCGACTTTAGTGAGGTGGCGACTTTAGTGGCTATTTCGAATGAATGAAATCCAGTTAAAGGGTTATGTTTTTTCATGTTGTTTTTAGAAAGGTTACACGCCTTCAAATGACCGGTCGGACACTTCAGCGGACTCAGCTGCGGACTGGCCTGCGGACACGAATCAAAACCTAACTTGATGTTCAACTCACCCAGCCATAAATCCATAAATAATGAACGGTTTTTCTTCAAATTTGAAATATAAGTAGATAACATCTTTAATTTGTGGACGGACATTTTTCAAATTTTTACATCATTAACTTTTTATTAATACGGAAAACCTCACTTCATTTTCAACTCACCCAGCCATAAATCCATCAATAATGAACGGATTTTATTCAAAATTGAAATATAAGTAGATAACATCTGTAATTTGTGGACGGAATTTTTTTAAGTTTTTACATCAATTACTTTTTTCTAATGGCACAAAATACTGAAACTTGACCTGACTAGGACCTAACCTGCTAGGTGAACGTGAAGTTAGGTTTTCCGTATTAATAAGAAAGTCATTGATGTAAAAATCTAAAATAATTCCGTCCACAAATTACAGATATTATCTACTTCTATTCCAAATTTGAATAAAATCCGTTCATTATTGATGGATTTATGGCTGGGTGAGTCAAAAATGAAGTTAGGTTTTCCGTATTAATAAAAAAGTTATTGATGTAGAAATTTGAAAAAATTCCGTCCACAAACTACAAATGTTATCTACTTATATTTCAAATTTGAATAAAATCCGTTTATTATTTATGGATTTATGGCTGGGTGAGTTGAAACTGAAGTTAGGTTTTCCATATTAATAAACAAGTTATTGATGTAAAAATTTGAAAAAATTCCGTCCACAAATTAATGATATTATCTACTCATATTTCAAATTTGAATAAAATCCGTTCATTATTGATGGATTTATGGCTGGATGAATTGAACGTCAAATTAGGTTATGATTCGAGTTCGCAGGCCAGTCCGCAGCCGAGTCCGCTGAAGTGTCGATTCGGTCTTCAAATGGAAGCTTGATTTTAGGATGTTTTAGAATTGAGTCAGTGTTGAAACATTATTTAATTTTTTATTATTATTTCGGTCTTCACTTATGCTTCCTGGGTTTGATGCGAATAAACTTGAAATCCGATTCTAATCACGTGGGATTAAAACATTTTACGATCAAATCTAATGTGGCTGTTGCAAACACTGAACCTTTGTTTTTTTGTTTTAAATCATCTCAAGTCTCAGCCAGAAATACAGAACCCTACAACGTGTGGCAGAGAGCGCTGCTTGTCGCGGCGGCATGTAACTAATATCACGATAACTTTGTACTTGCCTTTTTCAGACCAAACTAAGTTGTTGCTACAGGTTCTGCGAAAACTCGTTCACAATATGGAGCTATCAAATGGTGAGGTTTCTATATGTCTTTTCATACAAGTTCTCCTGATTATTGTTCAATGATAAATGATCTTTTAATAGTCAATAGTAAATGAATGACCACGATATTTCATACTTGTGTAAGGACCCAGTCATGAATATAGATATTAAGCCTATACACGTTTAGGCGCTGCTTTCAACTTTTCACAGCTCGTCTCAATATTTGCTGCGTTGAACGTTCACCTATCTACCGTAGGTCGTGACTCATGAGAACCATTACCTTCATTCATTTTATGATCGATTTGTTCTACTACACATTTCCAGTTACTGATATGTCCGGTAAAAAAATTATTCTTATAAAGTTATAATTACTGTTCATTTGCGGTTATGGGTCTCTTGTGTGAATAAATTAGCATTCTGAAGGTTTAGCAAGTCACGTTGGCATCGTGGCATGGCATAGCCGCATAGGCTGCAGATAGTTGAGGCTATGTTGGTGTTCCTTAATTAAAACGTTAGGTAGTATAGACTGTTAAGTAACTCTTGTACAAGCAGAGGGAAGTAGCTTTTTATGTTACGGCCCGTGCTACGCGATACTCGCTTCTAAGAGCGTAGTGTTGAAGAATCGAAATTTACTGGCGTCCTTCTGGCGGGGATTGTTCAACTGATCGGGAATGAGCAAACGAAGCGTGAAATGCGTGAATTGTACTGCAAAATGCATCGTCACTTCGATCACGTGCCACCCCTAACCTAACCTGAACGTTGTTGAATTGAAGTTCATATCGACAAGTTCTCCTAGTCAACAGCGAATCTGATGATTGTTCACTATTGGATTTAAAGTCTTGAATATCTGTTACATATTACCTTTAAATTGAAGTTTTGATTGGATTAATTATTAGACCTGTTCTATAATCGGCGGCAGATTTCAATTAGATTAGATTTAAACTTGTATGAATTAAGATTAGCTTGATTACTAGTTTGGGAAAGTTCCTAGCTGTATGAGGGGTTCTGCTTTTGGTTTATATAATTTCTCATGGTTTAGGGCTAATGTTGTAGGAATAAATTTATTAACTTGAGTTCAACGCATTATGCCTAGGAATTTTATACCTAAATTTTCTTCGAATACATGGAATACTATTCATTCGGCATTTCAATTTAAGCCTAAATTGAATGCCATGCAATTTCCTGTAACGTCTTGTCTGCATGTATTGGGCTAAAACAGGAGATCCTGATGTAGCAATTTTATAACTATTAATTAGGTTATACACGCCCGTTTTGACGTATGGCATCACTTCTTGCGATTATGAACACGATCACTACACTTTTTGAAGATTGACACTTTTTTTTAAGATTCTCTTTTCGTCTATAATGTAGATTAAATAATAGATCTTAAGAATTTGTTTTCAAACTAATAATATGCTTTTCGGATATTTCCTTCAGACTCTTATGAGTCTGAAGGAAATGAATTCAGCTCAGAAGTTTTAGATATAATAGTTACTTAAAGTACGTTTGATTATTTTCGCCCTCCCCGAAATGACACTCGGGATAGCAATTCTGAATAATTAATTCACAAACGCTAGAAAATGGAGAAAGCTAAAATAATTTTACATGGTTTAAACCCTGTTGGCCATGGTCAAAACTATTGTTGAATCCCTGACTAGTTATGAATAAATTTCAATCGTGCAGGTGTGCGCTACCAGGCATTTGCACCCCTACGCAACTCTATCAACGTGAGTAGTCATTCGCAGCTCAGAAAGCTGTAAAAGAGTTGAAAATTTGGAAATAAAGTTGTATTTTAACGCTCATGAAAGGAAAAGTCGTCTGATATAATTTTGAACGCGTACAATCAGATCACCGGAGACAAAAATCGAAGTCGAGCTGTCAGACTTTTAAAAAATTATCGTTGCCTCGTAAAAAATATGGAGTATAGTTAGGTTCTTAATTATTGTCAGCAATTGTGCAAACTACGACGTTGTGGATAATTGGATAGAAATCTCAGTGAAACCACTTGAGAATGCATTTTCATCGTTGAATTATGGATTTAACGATGCGTATAATTTTTCAAACGGATACTTGTGACTTTCGGATGACCTATTTAGCACTTAGTTCACTGTGAGACCGAGCGGAGTGTGGCAGTGATGATAGAAGCCGCGTTATAGCTGACTGGTTGAATCTTTATTATTCATGCAAATATAAAAGGGTATTTTTATTATTCGCTTTTTTAATACGGTAATATTTTTTCTCGCCAGGCTGTCTACCGAACCGTCATTAGCATAGGGACATCCACCATTGTCGCCACCAAGAGGACTTCTCCTTTGATCGTCGTTGCCGCCTCTACTCTAGGCCTCGGTGCGATATTTTTTCGCCGTTGGGTAAGCAAGAAACGTGCAGAAAACAAAGTTGTCTTCTGTAAATGTAAATCTCGGCTTAATGATAAGGTCGTGGTTATAACTGGAGCAACTTCAGGCATCGGCTATCAAGTGGCACTAATGAGCGCTCAGCAACAGGCAACGGTAATTTTTGGAGCGCGAGACCCCGAAAACGGAAGAGCTATTGCTGAACAAATCAGGCGGAAGAGTTCTAACCGAAGGGTTCACTGTCTCTATCTCGATCTCACAGATTTTCAGTCATGCAAGCGCTTCTGCGATAAAGTTCGGGAAATGGAACCAGTCATAGATTTCCTCGTGAATAATGCTGGCGTTCTCAATCAAACGCCAGCGCGTACCAAGGATGGGTTTGAAAAAACTTGGCAAACCAATTTTTTGAGTTGCATTATAATTACTGAAAATTTGCTTGGTAGCGTAGGTGTGGGCGTCTCTGAGCATGCGGGTATTATATTCGTGTCTTCTGCAACTCGCTTAATGGTCAACCCGTCTGATGTTGCGAATGTAGAACAAATGAGAGATGTTCCAGAAATCACTACGTTTGAAGAAGGTATTGGACACTATGCTCTGACAAAGATGGCCCTGTGGATGTATGCCGCTTACACGGCTTATAGCCGCAAGAATCGCAAAGACATTTTCGTAGCGTCTGTTGATCCAGGAAGTGTTTGGACTGGCTTGTTCAGAGATAGCTGGAAGGACCTATCCGGTTTGTACACCAGATTGATGTGCATGTTGTGCTTGAGAACGCCGGCCGAAGGGGCCCAGACCATAATGCACTGCATGAACTGTCCTAAAATTAGAAATGGCGTACTTTTGAAGGACTGCCAAGAAATTGGTTTCCTCCCTGAGGATGCGATAGAATTAAGCCCTGAATTTGTATCTAAATCGTACAAATTAATTTCCAAGTATCTTCCTGCTGATTGTAAAGCGGTGGACGAAATTAAAATTTCACCAGACTTGTCTTTCGAAGAGAGCCCTGAAAATGAAACTAAAGTCACCTGTTACTGATTTAGGACTTCCATTATTGTGCACGTGTTTTATTCACCACTAGTTTCGGATTTTATGGTTGGTTTTGTAAAGGTTTCAATAATAAAAGTTCGTTGAATGATTGTTCATAGATACCCTTTGAAAAGATTGATTTGGAGATGTAAAGTAGACATATTTTTCTGTGACCTTCTGATTTGAAGATCAACGGTTAGAATTTCAGTTTCAAATCATCATTTAGGCTTTTAGGGGAACCAAAGCTAGAACATTGACTGTCGTGCTCTAGTATCGAGGTACTGTTGCTTCTGTGAGAAGCGAAATCTTCCACAGTAGTGGGCATTTCTAATGAGGATGTTATCCTTCCGGTGATGGATCGAAATGTGCATCAGAATGCATAACTTTGATATTGCTGATTCACCCCATTAAACTTGGTGCAGTTATTGATTAGTTTGAAACTTAAATTATCTACGGTTCATAATTATCCGCGTCGATATCGGCAGATATAATTGCTAGGTTGAAGATTCTTGCTTCTTTCATTTTTACTGCTAGACCTTAATTGAACTAAAAATTGGGGCTTCCTTTGATGAGGCTCATGCTGGAGGATAAGTCGAGCCTTTCTTTTTTTTACGAATAATTAGTTACTTTTAATGACTGTTTCCTTAAGTAAATAATTCACAGTATCGTTGAACAAATGTATCGTTCACGTTCTTGAACTTGTTACCACATAACTTTGTTTTCATTTCATTCTCTCGCTGGGTACAAGAAGTAGTCATGACATGACATCCGAGTCTCTGCCCATAGTTTAGTTTAACGCGATGTAAGTCTGTGTAAACTGTCATGACTGTTTATTCATTGATTCAATAATTTATTTTTCTGTTAGCCTATAAAATTAGTGCGACATTATGGCGATGTTTGATAGACGACGTGAAAACAAGCAGACATTTGATGAATCAAGAAATCTCAATGTTACGATACGAGATTGTAACAACGTGGATGGACATATTGTAAGTATTTAGCCTTTAGGTCCTACAAATATGCCTACCTACGCTACAGTACCTATTACAAATACACGCGTGTGATTCATGACCAAATAATTCGTCGATTTAAATTATCAGAGAGTTTACAATCTCCAGATGACATTAGTAGATCAAAAGGCATATTTCATTAAGTATTTTAGTTTATTAACGGCGTTTCCGTTTCAAATGCAACAAACATTTATTTTCATTTTTTCAAGTGTTGCAAGAGAAGAGGCATTGAATGATTGATTAGTATGCCATTCGACATTGAATAGGCATTGATTATTGAAATTTTGGTGGAAATAAGTAGGTAGGTAATTTAGTACATAATATAAGTAAATAGGATAGTACAGTAAAATTTTAAGTATAAATTAATTGAAATGAAATATATCATAGCCTATATATTACCGTAAAATGAGGTAACTTTGACCACTTTTTTTTTCATAATGATGCCATTTTTTTACTAGATAAGTTAAACTTAAATTGAAACATGCAAAATACATGTCTATACTCTAGCTTTACTCACCATAAATTGCTGGCTTTGTATGTGCCATGACTATTTAGATTGATTGACACATTATTTTGTTGCAGAATGGCAGCCGATAATCAATATACATAGGAGATGAATATATGTTTTGAAAGCAAAAATATTAATATATATTTAAGCTTTAAGGCTTGCGACTGAATTCAAGGCTTTCAACCCTTTTAACGCGTGCGAAATTCTTTTAAGTGTTGTCTACCTTATTGTCCTTTGTTTATAGTCCGTTACATCTATAGTCCGCGTGTTGATTGCTAAGTGCTATAGTTACGCGTGTTGATTGCTGAGTGCTGTTCAGCCTGTTATTACTCCGATCTCCAGTTTTTCCTCGAATCAGTCGAATGGATTACTGATAACTGACTAAACTAGTCTTCATTTTCTGAGCATAGTAACTTAGTAAGTAATATTTATTCGTGAATCGTGATCATTCCTGAATCCTGATTCCATGCATAATCTACTCTCATATCTCTTGTAAATGGCTCCATTGCATAAGTCTCGTAGCAGTTCTCTCTTTCTTGGCAATAATTATTGACCGATTTCTGCTTTCAGTGCACCATTCTGAAAAAAATTAAATTAGGATCAGTTTGTTAATGAAAAACCTAGAAACCTAGCAGGAAGCAAAAAACCTAGATCTACCTAGGTTTTTTTTGCTTCGGAGCACCACAGTGTGCCTGCTGGAGTGCTGGGGGTGGCACTGGGGCTAAGTGCCCAAGGATTTCCTAAAAAACCACCATGCCTCCTGAAAATGACTCAAAAATAGCCACTTGGCACTTGGCAGCTACCTAGTATTGCACTTGACTTGATTGCTGCCTGTTCCTGTTGGCTTGTCACTAAAATTCAGGATTGGAATTTTCCTACTTTTTTCCAAAATCTTGTGGTACAATGTGACAAATTTTATAATACAATTGGAATCTTGCAGCCCAGTTGTGCACTTCTGTTAACAATGAGATAGGAGGTGATTCATCTGGCGGAACTCTTGCGGTTCCAGAAATGGCAGGATAGTTCTACTTCTAGTCATGGTCCTGAAGGTAGATTTTTTTCCACAATTGCCACTATTGTCACAAAATAACTAAGAAGCTCTTTCCATCTAGGGTAAACGCGGTATATTCCGTGACATTAAGGATGCATTGAGAAATGAAAAACTATAAAAAAATAACCGTATGCGTTACCCAAGTTCTGTTTGCTTTATGTGACTCTCAAAACACCGCACTACGTATCAGCAACGACGAAACGTCACAAAATGTTGCCATATTTATTTAAAAGCCTTTAGAATGCAAACCTACCAAATCCCTATATTCCGTCACTGTGTGTGGCTATATTTGGCATGTGGTGAGGCGTATTCCGTCCGCGCTTCAAATTCTACTGATATATAATGCTGTCATCCACATGTTCGAATTCTGTTCGCTGTGTGAGCTGTATTGGAATACAACACGGCTTTGAATTAGAACACTAATGAATATTGAACACTACATAATTACGCTTTTAATTAACAACTATTAAGCTTTTAATTAAGCAAATTTTAATTTTTGTACACAGCTTGGAACGATCTGTGTGTGTCCAATTCAAGTTGTGACGGAATTAGTTTTCATGTGTCCAAATCCTTTTCTCAACTTAATCATCTATTAATTTATTAACTAACCACTTGAAATCAGCAAATACAAGTATACTTGAAGGATTCCTAATATATTCACAGACATATTTAAAAATCTCAAACCATAATATTCTTCCTATACAAAACAAACAGTTATTCACTATTTGGTAGAGCAAGGTCAACTGTCAAATTTGACACATTTTTCGATGATCTCACTGGGTTAGTGTGCATTGTCTCTCTTTGGATCTCAATATTTTCCTGCTAGATGGCCAAGACCTGGTGTTTTGGCAGTAGTTTGACGTGCAAATGTATGATGTCACCATTTCAACCATCAACAAACGCATGGAACTAAAACAAAGCTTAATATAAAGGAAAAACTAGAGAGGTGACGGAATTACCCACGATGTCAGAATATACCGTGTTTACCCTAGATAAAATGTTGTGGCTTAGTTTTTCAAGTTTTTTAATACGTTGACTGCATTAGCTGATTTGGCGGTTTTCGCCTCACAGCTAATGTTGCTAATAACCATAGTGGAATTCTACAAAGAGAGGTACTTATGGCGGTCCACCGCCTTGCGGCGGTCTTAACCCTTTGCAAGGCCCCATGCCCTTGGCCCTTGGGCCCCTCTTGCAAGTTGCAATGGTCTAAACTCAACGGTTCAACCCCATGGTCTCATCACAACTCCCTTTAGAAATATGTGGAGTTTTGAAATTGATATAAATAAATCAATAAATATTTGAACTGGGAAATTCCTTAGTTACTTACGTTGGTTCCAGAATGATATCAATGACGTAAAAAATGACAATGACATCGGTTAAAGCCTCAGCCATGATTCTAGCTCTGCTCAGTCCTTACACTTTTACCTCATAATTCATGATGTTAGAACTTCGATGTTCAAATGTTGACACTACTGTCAAGTGTCAATATCACAATCAAAATTATTTCGCAATCAGAAATATGTTATAATATCACAGTCAAAAATATTATTCACAAACTACCATCGATTTCAATGCAAAACTGTTCCCATCTTCACTGTAGTGTCGTGCTGTGGCTTACGCCTTACTGGCTTTGTTTACATATGGCTAGCAGGGTGGGCCTGCAATGACGTCACACACAAGAACACGTGGTACCTCGACTGTGACATAAAAAAAATGCAATATGTTGCTGCACCACAAAAAAATAAATGTAAATAATTAGTAATGGAAAATGTGTTGCTGCAACATTTTGAGAGACTGTGCCTAAGCAGAATAATATATTGTTATTATTATAGAAAATGTACTAAACAATAAAACAGTTCCTTTGATTGCCACTGCTGGCGCTAGCATGTGGATGTGGAATCGTAATCTTTGTTTAGAATTTAAACAATTTAATATCTTATTGCACCACAAGTTAATACATTTAAATAATTAGTAATGGAAAATATTTTGCTGGAACACTTTAAGAGACCAGACCTAAATAGAATACAATATTATTATATTATTAGTGAAGATACTAAACAATAAAGTAGTTCATTTGATTGCCGCTGCTAGCGCTGGCATCTATGTGAACCTTATTACCTTCTATGGGTAATTTTAATTCAACATGGAATTATGGAGATACAACTTCTATGATTAATTTGAATCATAAACATTTACCTAATGCAAGAAATTAGCAATCAATAATTCAACGTTATTTTGTAAGTTTTGTACCAACGGAACTACAGACGACTACATTAAATACGTATTGGCAACTTGAGCTAAAAAAATGCAACTGCAACTGCAATCAGCTGGACAGAAGGTGCCAGAAAGCGCGATGGATTCATTAGCCATTTTTTATTTGAAATTGGTCTCAGTTCTTTTGACTAGGAGCGTAAATTTCAGTGTAAAACCTATTTAAAGTTTACGTTTCTGTGTGGATTTTGATGCTGTTAACATTAAAATACTTGTAAGTATCTCTGATGCAAGAAATACTGGCTAAATACATTTTAATTTAGAAATTAATGTCAATTGAAAATTTGAAATTACTGTTGTTGGGGCTATCTTGGTTCTTGCGAACCAATTTTTGCATCCAGTCGCTTATATTGAAAATAAAATTGTTTAAGCAAGTATTTCTTGCATCAGAGATAATTCAAAGTTTGTTAATGTTAACAGCATTATAATCCATGCAGAAACGTACATTTTTTATATTGATATTAAAAATTTAGGCTATTTATGACTCGTATACCAGTATATAGGATTTCAAATCGATGCATGCATTCAAATTCAAATAAGGCCTGCCCATGGCCAGTGAAGCTGTTAGCTCACCTTTCTTCAGAAGTATGAAAGCTTTTGCCGGTGAAGGTGTGTTACCGCGGTGCGGTGATCGGTTCATAAAGAAGCGTTTGGTTCAAAATGACATAAGACCTGGTTCTTTTGAATAACCTATAGAATTGCACCATGCTAATAACAATAGTCAGGTGATAGCTACTGCAGCGAGAGGAGGTGAGTTGCTCTACGTATGTAACGAACATATAGATACATTTAAAAACGTGGTACATATATGGTGCAACTCGTCCTCAGCGAAGCCATCATTGTTGATGGACGTATTGGGCCACATATCTACCACGACAGCGTGGTATCATAGTGTACCAACACGTCAGTGCAGCTCTAGAATATTGTTGTGCTACGTATTGGTATCTATTTGGCTCACTTGTTTACTGAACTTTAGTGGTTATTTCTCACTGTTATTATACAACGCATGTTATATTGTAATACTGTTTACATAATAGAATTGTTGGGGGTCGGCCCCTCCAAATGTCGATGGTCTGGCCGGTATAGTACCAGCACAGCAAACAGAATAAAAACAAACTCAGGAGATCAAACAGAGGAAGAACCAAGCAA